AAACGATCACTTGAAACATCCATCCCTCGAAATGTACCTTTTATCTCACAAACTTTAACCAGTTCTTGCTTCTCCAAGTCCCTCAACACACATATACATGCATTGGCCCCTTGTATTACAAGAAAAGATAAAGTATTTTTCACGTCTACACATAAATAGGGTAAGGTAAGAATTTCTCTGGAAAGCTCAATGAAACCAAATTTTTCAGTAAGTAGATTGATTGCTATGATGGTAGTCGGCTTCACGGTAACATAAACCACCTCAGCAACACTAACACTACTAAGTATGTCCTCAGAATCATAGGTTGGAGCAAAAAAACTTCTCCATTCTCGATCAATACCAAGTGTCCATACGTCCCAGTTCAATGGTCTAGCTTTAGAATAAAGACATATAACTTTATATTCCTCGGTCTGAGAAATGTAGACAACGTGACACCTAAAATCCCCACGATAAGTTCCGAATGGGAAAGGCAATATCTCTTCTTGCATTGTAATAGGATTTAAGACATGGAAACACTACAACAAAAAGTACTTTTTAAAACACTTTTACAAGAATCTGGAAGATAAAATAACAATAGACCTCTACAACTACTCAAAAGCGTGCCAGGAAAATTATGTTTTAGATGTCTCTCTTGTAATTCGTCATCTTTTATTTCAACGAAAAGGAAATTCTGTGGCAAACGGCCTTGAATCAATAAGCCGCTCTTCGACATTAGAACGTGAGACTTGATAAAGAAAGGGTCACGTATAATTTGAGCCCACGCCTTACAAACATATCTCCCGCAGTTGAACAGAAACTCGGCAGGAAGACAAAGAAGAATGTTGAAAAAAAATTCTAATGGAAGAAATGGTGATTCATTCATTTGTTTTTTATTGGATGTAGCCATTCTTAAAGATCTGATATTCTTTCTAAATGTCCTGCACCAAAGAAAAACATACTTAGTATCTTACTGTAGAAAAATGGAGAAAACAATCCAAACTACTGTTACGGGCATAAAAGGAACAGAGGGAAGACTGTAAGAACGTCTACAGACCATTTGTGAAAAATTTACAAGTTAATTATCACCGACAAGGATAATTCAGATAGGTGGAGTAGGGATGACCACATTTACATGTAGGAGAAAACTTTCATAGTTATTATAATGTTTACAGCCAACTGGAACCCCAGATGAATTTTCGTTTTTCTTTTTCCGCCTTTCATGATAGCGGAATTCAATAAATTTTTAAGGCCTGAGTAAGTTGAGTTTGAATCATAGAATCATCATTACAACATAGAACCCAACTAACAAGGAACAATGCATGTAAGCATAGGTATTTCTTATTACCCATTCCTATTTCAAACTAAAGAAGGTACATGATCGATTTAAAATTTAATGTGAATATCACATCACTTAAAAAAATTTTCCTCAACAAAAGCTTCCAAAATGAATTAATTACAGCTTTGATTTCTATCAAGCACAAATGTTATGGCATTGTTCATGACGAATGCACATTCGAAAAACACCCAACTACAAGAGCAAAGCTAGCTAGTAACATCATTCAACATTAATAACATACTAGATAAAAAGATTTCAATCTTATCAAAATAGAAATAAAATCAACCCACAATCGACTTTGATAAGAAAAAAGAACGGTATATTGTTAGTCAGATTGCCTACTATCGCCTGTCAAATTATTTATATATATGATATCCCATTCCTACCCCACTTCCAAAATAAAGAGGATGAAAATCACAATTTTTTCCCAAATTTAGATTGATCTTGAATAGTTCAATGGACTGAAGGACCTCTAAAAACTATAACTAGTTACGAACGGAAATTGAACAGTCATTATCAATTCATTCCCATTTAAATCATCAAACTCAAAAAAAGGAAATAAAAATGTAGCTTTATCAAGTTTCTATGAGATGTATACTGTTTTAACAAAAGCCTAAATTAATGTGAAAAAGGGAAAAATGTAAACATACCAATGGTGCAAAGAGTCGAGGTGGTGGCGGCGCAATTGAAAGGATAAAATGATTAATAGGGTGATGTTGAAGAATGCCCAAATCAACAAAAAATAAAAGGCATTTATAGGGAAGGATATATGAGTCATTTTGAGACAACCCTAGTTGATTAATAAGAAAGAAAATCATCTATGCTGGATAGGCACTTCTAATAAGCAGAGTGTTTATGCTCGACACACGTGATGTCATATTGGATATTTACACTCCTCAAACAAAGCCTCATGTTGGATCCCCTTTTTAATAAATTCTTTAAATTTCTAATGCTCAAAGACACCTAGGACGTTTCTCGAGAATAACTTGTGTCGTATTCAATACTGAAAATATAAAAATAAAGATATAGTATAAAGTTTAAATTTTAAAGAATTTAAATCAACATGTCCCCATACGTGTCCATGTCCTACTTTTCAAAACAATCACGTTTCGATGTATCCGTGTTGTATCACATCTCAAGTGTCTATATCCATATAACATAGTACGGCACGTATCCAAATAATCTCTTGGGAGACTAAGTTGATTAAAATATTATAAATGTTAAAAAAACTAGGCATGGCCTTCTTTAAGTAGTCCTAACCATCCAATAAATATTCCTCTCTAAGGTGGATCAATCTCCTACCGACGTATTTTACATCCTACAACCAAACAAACAACATTTTCTTTTTCGTGTGAACAAGAATATTACAATGTTATAAAGAGCTTCAAGAAATTACAGCTACCCTTGGGTTGGAAAATTATTCAAAGAGGATCATTCAACTGTAGCAAGAGCGTGAAAAATTAGGAAAACCAACCATTTTTGCGGTAGGTTTCAAGAACGAAGCAAAGAAATAAGAACAAGTTGTTTGTGTTTAAGTAAAAGCTACCTAATTGTTTGAACTCCAATCAATTTGTCACAAGAGCATATTTATTTTAGCAACAAAATGTAATTGCCTTTGGCCGATAATTTTATCCTACCAAAGGCTTGTTAGAAGGCATTAATGCAATGCGGATGCCTAACAAACTTAAGCATAGTCTGGAAAAAAGAGAAGACACCAAGAAGAAAGATTGGAACTGTGTTTTACCAAGGTTAAATCTCAGATTGAATGGAAGTCATGGGGCAATATAAAAGACTATGATTTCATCTAAAATTTAAAGGAAAGAAATTACATCTAGGTAAACTAGTTGGCTTGATCAATAGATTTCCCTTGCCTCTAATTATGAGGTTTACATAAAGGACTGCAACTCGCATAAAAGAAGAATAAAAAGGGAAGGACCTGGATTACGAAATTTTTATTGTACCTGCCTTTTGAATCCTATTTTTCTAATTTATTTTCCTAAAGGAAACCTTTTTTTTATTGGATTAGATCCATCCCCTTAATTGACTGTATAACATCTCAAAACCCAAATGCTAAACTCAGACATAGATGATTGGATCCTTATTCATTGGAGTTTGATTTACTAGCTAGGTAGGGCGATAATTTGGGTATGATTGAAATTTCATATTTAAATGATGCACATATTGACACCGAGAATCCTTAGCGTGTCTGCTAAAGGAAAGACCCAATTCCTTCTGCACACTAAAGGTTATCCAAAAGAGAACTTGTCTAGTCTCAACATGAACCTTACCCCATTAACCTAAAGAACTTGTTTTCGGTTGACGGTATTGCAAATCAATGAAATCGTATATAGAAAATAAATCATTTACACGAAAACAAAGTCAACGATCATATATATATCAATATAGTTCTATATTTTTCTTAAGGCAGAAATAAGGGGACTAACAAATACCTTGCCTTCCATCACATAGTACGACGTGCTTTTGCCACCCCCAATGGCACGGTATGCCTTCGTTGATTTGTTCTAATGATACAGAAGAATATCTCTCACTCAGCTTGCCACCGTAACAAAATGTTCACATTATATCTCAGGAGTAGTCAAAGTATAGCATGTCCAAGGAGAAAAAAATTACTAAGTTGGGCATACAAAACTGACCCAATTCTTCTCTCGAACTTATCCTAATATAATAGTAGGTAAGTGGGTTACAAGATCAGCTTTATTGCTTTTAATAGCAACCTCATACCAACAATTAGTTCATAATGAAGGAAAAAAATTATGAAAATAATGGAGAGTTTCAATATTCAGGTACCTGCAATAATATTACTTGGGATAAGAAATAAGTGAACTTCCTAGATATCCATAGTCTTAGTAGCAAATATTTTTTCACTTTCTAAGGACAAAATCCCTAGTTAATATAAAGAAGCTTTATACACAGCAAAACAGAAACAGTTTAGTTTTCTGTCTTATCATCAATATAAAGATCCCATAAAATCTGTCTTCATTGTTTCTTTCTAAACCAATTACCACCACGAGAAGTCATCTCACATGCAAAACCATAGGTCGCCCCTATAAGCTACTCAATTACATTGTTTTTAATTATTTTTAATGATTGAACACCATATCCTAATACATTAAGATCACAAGAACCTTTTTAAATACCTATCCAGATACACCACAATATTCTTAAAGATAGTGTGGTGGTAACTGCAGTCAGCCTCCATATAATGCATAAACTATTCATGGCCAAATACTGTTTCTCCATTAACGAATATTTACCAAGAACTTTGGGATGTGCTGTTTCATTTTGAAATACAAAATGTGCCGAAACATGGAGTTCAAGTTGAAATGAAATAAATTGATATGGATATAACTTCAGCGAGAAACAAGAAAAAGAAGTGACAGCAATATAAAATTAATTTAACTACATGAAAGAGAAATGTAATAATCCGGCGTAAGAACCGAAATATGCTAAATTCTTTCGTTGATTTGCCTTCCTTCTATAAGAAATTTTGGAGCTGGTATGCAAAACAGCTATAATTTAACTTCTAATCTGATAGTACTGAAGATTAAAATAAATTCAAAAATCAACTTTCAGTACTTATAATCCAGAAAATGGAAAGAAATTAACCAGTAAACGGGTATAATTTTTTGAACTTCGTAGGTTAAACCTAAAGCAGAAATTTCCGGAGAGTTCTTATTTGTTTGATTGTAGGATGTAAGCACCTCCATAAGAGCAGCCAAATCCAACAATGCAGTCCCTCTGCGGAGGATGCTGCATCAGAATTAGTAAAAATGGTTAAAACGTCACTTATTCGTCGAAAGAACAACCTCAATCCTACCAAATACTGTCCATCCTCCAAATGCACCAAGATCATCATTTTCTACGAGATCCTAAAACATCCCACGGCACACCATCCTCACACCACTGTTCTCCCCAGAATTTTCTTGCTCGTTCCCCCTATAGAAAATTTTTGCCAACGTGTTAGAAATTAAGTGGTCTACATTATTAGGCTTGAATTCCTCAATTTTGAAAGGTAAGAAAAAATTACTTATTGTCAAATTGTGTTTGATTTTATAGTTGTTAGATTAAATTCAATTTCATTGAAGGGATTACGTACAATAAACTAAGAAATTGAGTAAAATTAAAGAAAAACTAGTTTTAGTTATTAAAGAGATTGTAGAAATTGCCCAAATGTGAAATGATTAAATTTGGGCATTGCCTATTTAATTATTGAAATTTCTTAAAATAATTAATTGTTCATTTAAAAATTATATCGTATTTCAGGCGACAATACTGACATCAGAACAGCTTACCAATCGGGTTAATTTTGCGAACATAGTACTGTGAATGAAAAAATATAAATATTTTTAAAATATTTATAAATTAAGTATATTGTCAAAGTGTGTGCAATTACGTGTTCGAATTATATGGTTATTATGGAAATATCTTTTATTATGATACATGTGAAATATCAAAGATTATTATGACATATTTGTGACTTGTTAGGTAAGACATGTGATATTGAGATTTTTTTGGTATGTGAGAAATGCAATATTGAGATCGACCAGAAAAGTATCCATGATTATATAATTTTTCTAGTTCATAGAGTGGCCTTGGCCGTGTTCTATCCTACACGGAGGGTCTTGACCTGACATTGGTCTTGATCGTGTACATATAGTTCACAAAGGGGCATTGGCCGTGTTCTAAAATTGATTGTGAGAGGTCTTTGAGACCGACTTTCGTTTACGGAGGGGCCAAAAGCCCGTGGCGAAAGTTCTTAACCCGATGGGCGGATTATATATTTCAGTCAGAGGGTACATTTTTGGTGGATTTTTCAGTATGTTTGATGTGATGAGATTATAGCGTGGTTATCAGCTGATATTTATATCATGATTTTGAGATAATATTTTACGACCTTATGTGAATATTTCACTTTTGGTTATAATTACATGATGTTATCTTGTGAATTATTAAATGATATGAACTATATTTTCGATAGAAATGAAAAATTGAAAAAGTATAATTATTTTTGAACTGCTCCACTCATTGAGTTATCAACTCATATATTTTCCCACGATTTTTCCTACAGGTAGCAACTGATTCTTTTTAGCTGGAAGAGCCTAATGATTTCGGAATGAGAGTCACACGACATGTTGAGTATTATAACTCATATTGATGAAGCACGAAGTAAATATTTTGGGCTTATCACATTATATTTTATATAAGCATTTGATTTGTTTGCATTTTTTTTGAAATAACTCATAGTCAGCCTTGATGATAGATTTGACATCTAGTCAGCATCTATTATCGGCGCACGTCACGTTTCGGGTCCACTAGGGTGATTCGGGACCGGTCGTGTCATCAACGCTCATTTGTTGAAAGCTTGTTCGATACAGGATGTGGGCCACATCATGGCGAATCGCTTAGGACACCGCAAAGTCAATTTCCAAATGAATTTACAGGTCTAAATGACCTACCGATACTTGAAGATGTTCACATTCACGGTCAGGGAAGCCATGATCCAATTGATTTGGATGATATTAACATTTCCGAAGCGGAACATGAGGATGAAGATGCTGAATTAAACATCCCAGATACGAGGGGAAAGCAAAAGGCCAAAAAACAAGCAAAATATTGGGATCACTTTAAATTGATTTCAACGGAAAAAGTCGTCGATGGCCTTGCAGTATGTAAATATTACCAACAAAGATTGACATGACAAAAAGGAATTGGTACCACCCATCTCAACCGCGATTACAAAGCATGTGTGGCCCGAGATGGGCTTCTTCCAGCCGGTCAAACACAATTGTAATTTGGCAGTCCAGACATCGGTTCTACAACTTCACCCCTATCCACGTGGGTGTATTCGGAGGACAATACTCAAACCGAAATGGTGAAATTTGTTGCTGCCACTGAGTTACCTCTGACTATTGCGGACAACCAACACTTCGTCTCGTTCGTGAAAGAATATCTACAACCGAGGTACGTTGGAGTAAGTCGAAACACTCTTCATGCCAATACAATAAATTATTTCAATAATTCAAAATAACAATTAATTATGAATTTGCAACAATATAGGGGTGTTATATCTTTAACTTTTGATATATGGGAAGGGGTTAATAAAAGAGCATATATAATTGCAACCGCACACTCTATAGACCCACTTTAGTGCATGCATAAGAAAATTATTACTTTTAGAATTATTGAGTTTCCTCACAATGCTAATAATATATATAATGCAATTATCAGTATTATTAGAGAATATCATTATGAGACTAAAATTCGATCTTTTACTTTTGATAATGCTAGTGTTAATAAGGTAGTCGTCGATAAATTGTGTAGGACACTTCAACCTGATTTTCGTGGGTATTTGTTTCATATTCGTTGTGTGTGTCATATCTTGAATTTAATTGTGCAAGATGGTTTAAAACATATAAAGGATGAATTTCAAAGGATTAGGAATGCATTAGTATATATTACGATCTCTCTTAGTAGAAAACAAATATTTGAAGATTTTTGTGCTGAACTAGGGGTGACGACTGCTAAAACATTTGTTAGCGACGTAAGCCACAGATGGAGCTCTACTTACTTGCTATTAAAGTCATGTGAAGGTTTCGAAAATTTAATAACTGACTTTTATAACAATAGACACGTTCAAAGTGATGATGATGGTATATTAAATGAATCCGATTGGATTTTAGTTTTGAAAGTTAAACGATTTTTGACATCTTTTTATGAGACCACAAAGATTTTATCCGGCTTTTATTATCCCACAAGCTGTATGGTACTTGAACGCCTTTATATAATTGCAAGAACATTCCATAAATATAAAAATGATCATACTTTTAGTGAAATTATAATTACTATGAAATTAAAGTTTAGAAAATATTGGAAAGAACTGCCTATATTATTTCTTTTAGCATGCGCAATGGACCCCCCGATATAATATTTCGGGAACTAAATACGTAACTGATCAAATCAATAAAACTTTAATACTTGATACACATATCACCTAAAAGGATTTAGAGCAAATATTGTGTGGAATGTATGATTTATATGCGGAAAGAATGTGTGCGAATGTTAGTCGGGTACCCTCTGCACTTCTCCTTCTGCTGAAATTGAAGAAGATGATGCTGAAATAATGAATTTATTTCAAGGCATTAATACATTTAGATATGATGCAACTGCAATGTGTTCATCTAGTGCGATATCGTCTACATTTGCATCTCATCAAACATCAGCCGAAACTCAAAATGCGATGCCTACCGAATTAATTGATTACTTCAATCATAATATGCCAACAGACAGAACAATTAAAAAAAGTTCAGAAGAAGTAATTGAATTCTGGCGAAAGTATGAAAGACGTTGGCCAATTGTTTCTGCAATTGCGAAAAATCTGTTAACACCTCCGGTTAGCATTGTTGTTTCGGAGTCTGTTTTTAGTGCAGATAAAATGAATTTGACCAATGTCAAGAACCGACTGACAAAAGATATTTTGGAAGCGTTAATGTGCGTGAAGGATTGGCATGACGCTCATTTTCGACTACAAGATAAATGCGCTGAAATTGCATGTCGTCAAGTAAGTGATATTTGATTTAATTATATTAATCAAAATTTCTTTATTTTTTAATCGTTAAATTTAATTTTCTTTAAAAAATTATACACGTTATAACAAGTTGTTCTTTAATTCCGCCTACTTAAAATTGATGTAGCCGGTCCCAAACCCGAATAAAGGAAGAGTGTTTACATTTTATCTACTTTAAAAAAAATCAAAAATATATATTTTTTGTAAATGTATTTCAAAAAATAATTCGTCTTCATTACATAAATATTTTATACTTTATAAAAAGTATTACAATATGATATAAATAAAAAAAATAAAAAATTATTTTTGTTAAATTATTTGTATTTTTTAACACTTTTTATTTTTTTTTAAAAGTGTTTTCTATTATTTTATTTATTTGTAAAACTCTTTTTTTTTAAATAATAATAAATTTTGGACGAGCCCAAGCTCGGCTCCCGAACTGAGCCGAGCTCGCCCAATTTCAACGAGCCACAAGCATGTGCAATTAAGGGTTGAGCCAAGCCATTGCCACCACTATGTGTGGAGGGAAGATGGAAAACAAATTACCAAGAAAGTTATTGCCATCAAACATGCCCAAAGTGGGAAGATGAAAAACGTTCCATGAAAAATAGACCAAATCAAATTCGCCCTAAGTGTATTCAACCGAGATTTTTTGACTTTTTAAAAGTCTTTTTAATGTTTTGAAGTAAGAAATCAAGACTTTCTCAAAATTTTGGAAGGTACGAATCTATAATATTTGAAATATCACATCAAGTGAGAATCCTTTTATATATCACCTCAAGTGAAAATCATTTTTT